CCCCCAACCCTTTTTTTTTTTTTTTTTTTTTTTTTTGTGGAACTGGGGATTGAACTCAGGCCCTTGTGCTTGCCAGGGAAGCACTTATTCCACTGAGCCATCTCCCCAGCCCTGCTTTTCCCTCTTTTGCTCTTATTCTTTTTGCTGTCTTCTGCCACCTTGAAGTATTGTCCTTGCACCATGCCAGTCTGCCTTCAAACCAGCCAAATATAGACTGAAACTCCTACAAACTATGAGCCAAAGAAACCTTTTCTCCCTTAACTTTAGGTGTCAGGTATTTTTCTCTCAACGAGATAGGTAATTAATTTAGAAAGAAGAATTAGTACTAGAGAAGTAGGGTTGTTGCTGTTAGTGTAACTGACCATATGGTGTAGGAGACTTTGGAAATGGCTCGTGGGAAGAGTTTGGAAAGGTCCAGAGGGGCCGGAGAGATGGCTCAGTGGAATAAGTGCTTCCCTGGCAAGTGCAAGGGCCTGAGTTCGATCCCTGGTTCCTCAAAAAAAAAAAAAAAAAAAAAGGGAAAGGTCCAGAGATTCCAGATGGAAAAATAGAGCTGGAGTGCCTTAGGCTGTACTGTGTGGAGATTCTGGTGAGTTCAGAAGTCCACAAGGTTGATAGAGATGCTATTAAAGACCATGCTTAGAAAAGTTCTGCAGTAAAGGATTGTATTGGCTGTTGGACCCCACACTATGTGTGATATGATTTGGCAGAAAGTTGATCTGCATTTTGCTTATGGCCAGAGATTGCCTGAAACTAAGATTAAGTGTGGCAGATAACTTAATCTTGTAGATGAAAGTTTAATGCACTCCACGCTAAGGTCATGGCATATCTGCTCTTGGGGACTCTCCACCAATCTATGTTGAGAATCAAGAGCATATAAGCCTGCAGAATGATTTAAAATATTTTGAATTTTCCTAGAAAAGAAGCTTTAATAAAGCTGTGGACTGAAAGATAGAGCAGAGTACATCTTGGTAGTTGAGAAGGACCAGGAAAGCACAGAAGATGGTCTCAGGGTATTAAGCAGTAGCAGGATTCCACCCTTTTAAGCCTCAAAAGTGCTAGAGTGCTAAGGTGGAGAGACTTTGCTTTGAGAAGAAAGCCCTGGAGCATCATGCTCTGGAATGGCAGCAGCCTAGAGAATTTGTTCCTTAGGATTGGATTTGGAGTGCTCAGAGGTCCAGTCCATCCACCCTACAGCCAAGAGAAGGGACATGTAGCTCGTGCTTCTGGTGGCAGCAGGACTTTCATCATCTACGTGGCATTGGTTTAGGTGCATGCAGAATGCAAGAGTTTTGGTGTCAGAAAGGTGTCCATCCAGATTTCAGAGGGCCTAGGAGGCTAGGCAGTGTGCCTAAGAAGACAGTGTGTGAAGCTCTGTGAAGTGAAAGGTGCAGTGGAGACCCCAGAGGTTTCAAGAAGCCAGGAAAGTAGAGAAAGTAATTTGCATTATGCTATTGAGGTAGTATCTAATGTTTCAGGGGTCTGGTGCTTCAGCTGTGATGTAATCTTTCAAGCCACAGGAAGTCATGCCTCTATTTTAAGGCACAATCCCAGCTGGCAGTGCAGAACATTGGCTCTTCATGCTGTCTCGACCCAGCTCACATTAAAGAGCAGCAAGTGTAGTCTACCAGGGAAACATGCATGCCACCTTCGACGACTATCACCAGCACCTCAGCTAGACCAATATACATTGCTTAAGGCCAATTGAAAGGATAAAGGGAAGTCCTAGCCATCTATGTACATGTCAATACAAGGAAACAAGTTGTAGCATGTAAAAATGACACTACTCTGCAGTGTAGTATATTTCATGAATTATACATTTCAGATGTATACAACTGGTAATTATGCACTTACCCATAATTAAGTCTAGAGCAAACTATAATGTTCATTGTATTATGGATATTTAAAAATTAATTCCTGGGGCCAGGGAGATGGCTCAGTGGAATAAGCACTTGCCTGGCAAGCGCAAGGGCCTGAGTTCAATCCCTGGTTCCACCAAAAAAATAAATAAATAAATAAATAAATAAATAAATAAAATAAAAATTAATTCCTAATTATGATTTTATGATACCATAAATTTGTAACAATGTAACCATATTAGAGATTGAGCAGCTTTTGTATTCAAGAACACTGTATGAAAAACATTTTACAAAATATTTTAATATTAAAGGACCTTAAAAATACAGATCAGGGCTGGCAAGATAGCTTGGCAGTCTAAGCACCTGCCTGGCAAGTGCAAAATACCAGGTTTGATCCTGGGTACCACATGCCATGCTGGCTCTGGAACCCTGGGCACTCCATGCCAGCCACCAAAACCGGGCATGGTGGTGCATGACTGTAATCCCAGCACTGGGAAGGCTGAGACAAGAGGATCAGTATGAGTCAGAGTTGTGAAGCAAGACCTTGTACCAAATAAAGATTAATAATTTGTACATATATATAATATCCAAGGAGATCAACTGGCCCTCAGACCCATACTTTACCTATGTTTGAAGGCATCTGTCACATAGCTCCAACATTATGCAGCTGTTATTATGAACAATGAAAAATGACATTGTAAAATGTATCTCAAAAATTGGGGAAACACTATCTGAATTAAAATTTAGTAAATTTCACTTTTTACAAAGCTGGTATCTCTCATGAGTTAGGTTTTCCTCTATGCCATTATTTCGCCTTATTAGATAAAAATAATGATGGCCAGACATGGTGGTACATGCCTGTAATCCAAATAATTGGCAGGCTGAGGGAGGAGGATCACATGAGTTTGAGGCCAGCCTGGACTACACAGTGAGACTGTGTTTCAAAATGTGAATAACAAACATACAATGGCATCACAGCATCAGGCAAAACAGGCACTTGCTTCGTCATGCTCAATACAGTTATTCTCTCCAAAGCAACACCACTATTGACAAAAATTCCTTTCAAAGTGTTGTTGCTGATAAATAATACTGTCATTTTTAATTTTGGAGAGATTACTACAGTTAATGATATTCTTTTGAAGATAAGTTATGGTGCTGCAGATGTAGGTAATCAGAAACTCACAGTAATGTGGATTATCTTGGCACATATGGTGGAAAAATTACCACCAAATTAAAAGTCATTCCAATCAAAGCAAGAAACTCACAATTTGGATGGTAAGAAACAAAATTTTATATAAATATTTGCCCTAATATGAAAGAAAAATAGACAAAATTATGTACATGATATAATATACATTGGGATACAAGCAGGTATCTTGGTCATGACACAAGAAACACAACTGCTATTCACAAGTTATGTGAAAACAAATCAACTTTTTCGAAAACATGTTCACAAGTCTGAATAAATACATATATAATATAAAAAAAGTTATTAAACTGAAAAATATCTGTTGTTACCCAGAATACAGGGTGTACACATCAAAACTTTAAGGCAAACATAGTGACAAAATCCCAAGAATTAACAAAAAGTAATTAGCAAAATTAATTTTTTAGACCTACATCTCCTATTTTTTAAAAATGCATTTAGAACAGGGTCTACAGGGTCTCACTACACAAATCAGACTTGTAGTGATCCTCCTGTTTTCAGCTTCCCAAGTGCTGAGATTACAGGCATGTGCCACCATGCCCAGTTTCAATCACTGTCTCAGCGTGTCCTGAGGGCAGGGCCAGCATGGTACACTGGGACTGAACCCCGGTCCCTTTAGTCTGCTGAGCTACCTGGCTGGACCTATCTCCTAATTTTAAAGACCAAGCAAAACTTACATAAATACTAACTGTAACTGAAAGTAAAAAACATTTGAATTCATCTTGCTTAATTAAAAGATACCATGTATTAAGCTCAGACAGAAAAATATCTAATTATGGCAAGTCAGTATTTTTATGCTAAGTCGTGCATAAACATAATCCAGATCCTTAAGTGACTTACTGAAAAACATGTAATGTGCCTTAGCATATTCCTATCTGGGAATGTATTTTATGGAGAAATATTAACATCGAGCATTTGGTATTATTTAGTCCTATAGATTTGCACTACTTGAGAAACTTTCAGAAGAAGATTATCAAACTAAGCTTATAAATGTTCTTTCCAGTGAGACTTTTCACTTATTTGACCAAAAAAAAAAAAAAAAAAAAAAAAAAAGCTTTCCTATATATTTTACATACATATGGTTTCTGTCCAATGTGAGTTATTTTGTCTTTGGCCAACACCAGGTATGCTGAAAGCTTTTCCACAATGCTTTCACATATGAAATTAATGTAAGTGTGAGGGTTTTTTTGTCTTTTACAACTACCAGCTATGATAAAAGCCTTGCTACGTTGCATATATATATATTTTTTTTTCCCATGTGACTTCTCTCATGTGTTTGAAAAGTACTTTTTATGGTCAAAGCTTTCCCACATTGTTTATATACACAGGGATTTTTGCCAGTGTGAGTTCTTTCATGTAATTCACATTAACTTTGTATAAAAAAGCTTTCTCATATTGTTCATAGTTCTTGGTGTTTCAAAATTCAGGTTACAATATGCTTTTGTATTAAAAGCTTTCCCACACTGCTTACCTACAGGTTTTCTATCTAGTGTGGATTCTTTCATGTTTCTGACAACCATCATATGTGAGGAAAGCTTTCTCACATTGCTTACATACATAGGGTTTCTCTGCAGTGTGAATTCTTTCATGTTTTCTACAACGACTTTGAGTTAAAAAAGCCTTCCCACATTGCTTACATACATAGGGTTTCTCTCCAGTGTGAATTCTTTCATGTTCTTTACATGAACCTTGTCTAGTAAAAGCTTTCCCACAGTGTTTACACACATAGGGTTTCTCCCCAGTGTGAATTATTTCATGTACTTTACATGAGTCTTGTCTACTAAAAGCTTTCCCACACTGCTTACATACATAAGGTTTCTCCTCCGTGTGAAGCTTTTCATGCTTTTTACAATAACCTTGTGTACTGAAAGTTTTTCCACATTGCTTACATACATAAGGTTTCTCCCCAGTGTGAATACTTTCATGTATTTTACAATCTCTATGTGTACAAAAAGCTTTCCCACACTGTTTGCATACATAGGGTATCCCCCCAGTGTGAAACCTTTCGTGTTGTTTACAATAACCTTGTGTACTAAAAGCTTTTCCACAATGCTTACATACATAGGGTTTCTCCCCAGTGTGAATTCTTTCATGTCTCTTACAATCTCTATGTCTACAAAAAGCTTTCCCACACTGTTTACATATATAGGGTTTCTCCCCAGTGTGAAGCCTTTCATGTGTTTTACAATAACCTTGTGTACTAAAAGCTTTCCCACAGTGCTTACATACATAGGGTTTCTCCCCAGTGTGAGTTCTTTCATGTCTTTTACAATCTCTATGTCTACAAAAAGCTTTCCCACAATATTTACATACAAAGAGTTTCTCCCCCGTGTGAAGCCGTTCGTGTTTTTTACAATAACCTTGTGTACTAAAAGCTTTCTCACAATACTTACACACATAGGGTTTCTCCCCAGTGTGAATTCTTTCATGAATCTTTACATTGTTGGCTGTACTGGAGGTTTTCAAGTTTTCCTTATATGCAAAGGTCTTCTCTCTAATCTGAGTTCTTTCACTAAGATCAGGGTAGGATTTTTCACATTGATCATATTTATAGGATTTCTCTCCAGTCTTTGTGCTTGCATCCTTCTGAAAGGTGTGGAAATCATTGCAGGTTCTTCCATGTTCATTACATTTATATAGCTTGTCTTCTAATTCAAAAAACTTGTATGTCTTCATTCCAGTATGAGCTATGGTGGGCATATTTAGTGGGTAGCCTTTCTCCAACTCTTCCTTTCTGTTAAAAGAAAACAAATCAAAAACAAAAACATGAGTCACAATAAAATTGGTCTCCATACTAATAATCATTTACCACAAATTCTGGTATGATTCCTTCAAAGGAATTCTGACAATTAACTGAATGCCCTGGTGGATACCTTGGAAACAGCTATTCCCAAGAACGGTATTCATTTAGGAAGTTTTATTTAATTTAATTAATTTATTTATTTTTGTGGAACCGGGGATTAAACTCAGGCTCTTGCACTTGCCAGGGAAGCGCTTATTCCACTGAGCCATCTCCCTGGCCCCTCATTTAGGAAGTTTTAAATTTGAGTATTTACAATACAGATGGACAGTTTCATTTTGGGCAATTGACATACATGTGTATTGATCAATTTGCTACCTTTTTGGCCACTGTTGTCCTTCTTCTCCCCTTATCATGCGCTTCCTTATCTCCAAGCAGTCAGGTTTTACTTTTTTAATTGCCACTCCTATATTTTATTACCTAATTTACATTTTTGGTTTTTCTTATAAGAGAAAGCATGTGAACTTTCACATTCTGTGTCTGACTTAATTCACTTTACATTCATGATGAAGGCCCACTCATTTCTTTGTGCAAATGACATGACTATAATTCATCTTTGTACTTAATCAGATAGCATTTTTTTTTTTTTTTGTTCTTCTTGCAGTGATGGGGATACTTTCAGTAATGAATTAAATCTCCAGCTTTTTTTTTCTTTGTTTCTTTTTAATGTTTTCCTTGATAGTTGTTCTTTATGTATGAATGTGAACTTGATTTCTAGTTTTATTTCTTGTTGTTGTGATGATCTATCCTTGTTTTATTTCTTCCTTCTGTCCTTCCCTGCTATCTTTCCCACCAGTTTCCCAAAATTTGGGTAATCTTCCCTTTCACACCAGTCTTATTTATACTCTTTATTTTCTTCTATTTTTCTATTTTCCACCTAAACCCCTTTTAAATTTACTCCCTGAGGGTAAAATTGATTTATTCAGGGTCTACTCACTGCATAAAATTTCTGATTAATTCTAGATTCTGTTATATAACCACAAACCTAGCTTATATGGTTAAATAGTTACTTCAGTTTGGCTAGGTTGTTTTTGATGTTGTTGTGGCTGATGGTACCACTCTAAACAAAGTGACATATGATTCTAACCAATTGTTCTTCCACTATACCAAGACTGAGATTGCCCAAAGATCATAAAAAATACTATAGAACAGTGCCAAAGAACTAGAGGTTGAGCCATGAATGCCGTAATTTATCATCCTCAATAAATTCAGGAGGTAGGATGTTGCAACAGACTCAAAACCTAAAAGCCAGCTACACCTGAAAGACATCTCTGAGTTGTCATTTCCTAAGTGATCTAAATACTAGCTACTAAATAAAGCTATTTTCTATAGGCAATTATAATCAAGAACCCAATAATTAAGTGACAGAAAAAAATACAGAGAGAGAGAGACAGAGA